AGGGGCCGCATCTGGCCCCCGGGCCTGGGTTTGCCCATACCTGCACTAGGCAATGATGCCACCATGATTCTACTTTAACTGACTTCAGAACATTTCCGGAGCTTGTAATTTAGGGTATTTAAAATATTCATTATTCTCAAAGGCCTAAAGCATCAGATCCTGTCTGACCTTATAAGTTAAGCAGGCTCAGCCCTGGTTAGCATTTGGATGGGTGACCGCCCATGAGTACAAAGTATTATAGGCTATATTTCAATGGAAGGAACTGGAGAAACTACCTCTGAATATTCCTTGCCTAATAACCCCCTATGAAATTCTTGGGCTTGCTGCAAGGAATTTGTAGGTACATACATATACAGTTAGTATTCTCAATCTCCCCCAATGAAAAATCTCAGAATTTCATAGGATGCAGCCATGGCAGTGAAAGTGGAGTCATAATACTATAAATGTGTACAACGAAACTGCCCCTGTGATTTCCATGATATGGTGCTGGCTTTGATGCTGCTGTTGCTGCCATTTCATGTATGTGTTATTGTTGTTAGACTCCAACTCCCAGCAGCCCTAGTTATGTGGGAATCTGGGAGTTGAAATCCAGCAATATCTGAAGAGCTGTACTATGAGCACTTTGATATATAGCAATGGTTAATCAGCCACTCTCTTGGCAGTCCACATGCCTCTGAAGCAACTAGAAAGGTAGTCCTTGTCTAAAGTAACATGTAAAACACAAACAAACAAGCTATTTGGATCTTACATTTCCAGTATAAATTATATGTGACACTGCAATCTGGATAATATTTCAAACTTCACATTTAAGTGGAATCTCAATGAGAGGTGAAATAATTGAAGCCTGGTCAAGTGCTATCAAATAATTGTGTCAATTACTACCATTACTTCCCCCTCTCTAATATGCATTGGATCCTGTAGTTGTTTGGCTTAGCCTTGTGTTTATTTTAAGTAATTCCCTAAACACGCTGGACTTTGAACACACCTCCATGGAACTTAGGCCCCAGCCTAAAGCGCAAATGGTGAAAACTTGACGAGACAAGACACTGTTTAGAGATCACCCCTGCTCCTTGTTGTTGTTCATTCGTTCAGTCGTCTCCGACTCTTCGTGACCTCATGGACCAGCCCACGCCAGAGCTCCCTGTCGGCCGTTACCACCCCCAGCTCCCTCAAGGTCAGTCCAGTCACTTCAAGGATGCCATCCATCCATCTTGCCCTTGGTCGGCCCCTCTTCCTTTTGCCTTCCACTTTCCCCAGCATAATTGTCTTCTCTAGGCTTTCCTGTCTCCTCATGATGTGGCCAAAGTACTTCAACTTTGTCTCTAGTATCTTTCCCTCCAGTGAGCAGTCGGGCTTTATTTCCTGGAGGATGGACTGGTTGGATCTTCTCGCAGTCCAAGGCACTCTCAGCACTTTCCTCCAACACCACAGCTCAAAAGCACCCCTGCTCCTATAAGGTGGTAATACATGCAGTGAAGAAAGGTTTATTCTCCAACTCCTGGCAGTCTTAGATGACACACACTTCCTTGACCATTTCAAACCAGCTTCTGAGCAGAATAGGGGGACTTTTATGGTCACCTTGGTGGATGATCTCCATCTTAACATTGATAAGGGATTTTAGACCTCTTGGCAGCTTTTGATACCATTGACCACAGCATCCTTCTGAAATTCCTGGAGGGGTTGGGCATTGGAGGCACTGTCTGGTAGTCATACCTCTCAGGAGGTTCCAGATGCTGGTTCTTGGGGATAGCTGCTTCTCAAAAAAGGAGCTGTTATGTGACATCCCAGAAGGTGCCATTCTGTCACCAATGCTTTTTAATATGTACATGAAACCTCTGGGAGAGATCATCTGAAGGCATGAGGCAGGGGTTATCATTATGCTGATGACACCCAAATGTATATCTCCATGCCTTCCAAAACAACCTCAGCTAAGGATATCATGTTTCCTCTGAATGAATGCCTGAAGGAGATAATGGTCTGAAACTGAATACAGATGAAACAGAGGTACTTGCCATCAAGGGTCCTAATCTGGGAATGAAGGTATGTCAACCAGTCCTGGATGGGGTTACATACCCCATGAAAGATTGCATTCACAGCTTGGGAGTGCTTCTGGATCCGTCTCTCTAAATATCAGCCCAGATATAATGAATGAGCAGGAGTGCTTATTATCAGCTTCAACTAATACACCAGCTGTGACCCTTCCTAGATTTGGAGGACCTACAAAAGATAGTGCATGTGCTGGTAACCTCAAGGTTGGACCTCTGCAACACACTCTTCATTGAGCCACATTTGTACCAAGTTTGGAAACTCTAGTAGGTTCAAAATACAATAGCCAGATTGGTAACAGGAACATCCAGGAGTGAGCATATTACATCCATATTAAAGTCACTCCAGTGGTTGCCAATCAGTTTCTGGCAAAGTACAAAGTGCTGGCTTTGACTTTTAAAGCCCTACATGGTTTGGATTCAGGTTACCTGTAGGATTGCTTTCTCCTGTACAATCTGTCCCAAACACTGAGGTCCTCTGAGGGACAGTTACTCCAGTCAGACAGAACCCAACTGGCCACAGTCACCCAGAGGACATTTTCTTCAGCCTCCCCATGACTGTGGTGTTGCTACTAAGCAAAATGAGATGTCAACATTTAATCATAATCATCATCGTCATCGTCATCATCATCCCCAATTCTATTTGTATCCCCCCCACTATCTCCCTGATGGGGATGCAGGGCAGTTAACAACATATAAAGACAATATTCAATGCCATATAATACAACCAGCCAATAAACAAGACATAACATAAATTAAAAATGACACAGTAAACCTTGAAAAAAAGCAATAACAAGACATTACCACTGAATTAAATGAACACTAAAATTACTTTTTTACTCAACTGATATAACTAGAATAAAAACTTTTAAAATTGGTAAATTAATTTTAAAAACATTAAAAATTTAAACACCTTTGAAGACCTATCTCTTCCGGCAGGATTACCCAGCCAGTTTTAATCACAAATTTTAAACTTGTGTCCTATGTTTAATCTTTGTTCTGTGCATTTTAATCCATTTTTTATAGAAATACGTTTTAATGCGTGCATTTTATAGAATTCTTTTAGGTGATTATGTGTTTTGAGAGATCTTGTAATGCCCCTCAAGGCACAAGGAGAGGCAGGAAAGAAATAAAATTATTATTATTATTAAAATTCATTTCCATAACCCTGGCAGTTTCTTGTGCTGGAGATAAAGAGCAACAACACTCACCCCTCTTTTTTCAGTTTTTCCCTCTGGCTGCAAAATGCGCTCACTCATGATGATGCATTTGTGCCGGTCCAATTGACTTCCTTAGGAAAGTGACTTGAAGCCCTTAATCATAGCTGAGTGGCACACACACGCGTGGTTGCAGATGCTATTTGCCACAAAGGGGAGGTGACAGGGTGGCAATTACTGCCAGGCGATTGTCACACACAGCTGTTGGTGTGCCCTTTTCCTGATCCCCCCCCCCCCCGGGATCTTGCCGTTGATTTCTGCTGGGTTCTGTTCCTGTTGTCCTGAAGGGCCCAAATCTGCTGGCAAATAAGGGGTGACTCTGGTTGGGTTTTCCCAGCATTATTGAGAGTATTTGCAACTCAAGATGCTTTCCCATGCTTCGGAGGACATCATCAGCACCACAGCTTGGTGGACAGCTCCATATAGGCAAGCTATAGCAAGAAGGATTAACTCGGTCTCTAGACCAGTGGTTCTCAACCTGTGGATCCCTAGGTGTTTTGGCCTTCAACTCCCAGAAATCCCAGCCAGTTTACCAGCTGTTAGGATTTCTGGGAGTTGAAGGCCAAAACATCTGGGGACCCATAGGTTGAGAACCACTGCTGTAGACTTTTCTCCAGCTAAAAAGGGGCAGCAAAACCATCAAAAGTCTTGCCCCCATCTACACTGGCCATTTAATCCAGCTTCAGACTGTATTGTGCCGACTGTAAACCGCCTTGGTTTGCCTTGGGGCTGAGAAAGGCGGTAGGTATATAAATACGGTAAATAAATAAAATAAATAAAACAATTCGCTCTTTTTTTTGTTGCTTTTTCCAATGATAGTCCAGCACCCCCTGCTCCCCCATGCCAGCAGTTTGAGAGAATGTAAACTAACCCTTGGCCTAAAAAACTTTGAGGACCTTTGTTTCAGAAGCTGGTGCTTGATCTCCGCCTTCCTTGCCAGAAGTGCAGCCAGTCTGTCCTTTTAAGGCACCTGTCCCTTTGAGCCAGTGGTTCTCAACCTGTGGGTCCCCAGATGTTTTGGCCTACAACTCCCAGAAATCCCAGCTAGTTTACCAGCTATTATGATTTCTGGGAGTTGAAGACCAAAACATCTGGGGACCCACAGGTTGAGAACCACTGCTTTAAGCGGATCACCACATTTGAAGGGAGATGTTGACAAGTTGGAATGTGTCCAGAAAAGGTGACTAAAATGATCAAGGGTCTGGAGAACAAGCCCTGTGAGGAGCGGCTTAAGGAGCTGGACATGTTTAGCTTCCAGCAGAGAAGAAGCCATACTACCCTTCTCTTCTGCCTTAGTTAGATGACACCTGGAATACTGTGTCCAGTTCTGGGCACTGAGATTGAAAGGAGATGTTGACAAGGTGGAATGCACCACTGGGGGCTCCAACAGCTTACTGGTTGTTAGGAATTGTGGGAGTTGAAGTCCAAAACAGCTGGAGGGCCGAAGTTTGCCTGTGCCTGAGATAGATACAGTGGAATTCTCTCTTTTTTCAAACGATAGTTTAGTCCCCCAGCAGTTTGATGCACAGTGAGCTGGTCCTCGGCTTAAAAACTTGAGGAGCCCTTTAGAAGCTGGTGCTTGATCCCCGCCTTCCTTGCCAGCGGTGAAGCCAGCCTGTCCTTTGAAGGCGCCTGTCCCTTTAAGCGGCCAAGCCCCGCCTCTCGAAGGCGCGGAGGGGGCGTGGCTCGCGGCGCTATAAAACCCCACCTCTGCTTCCGGGACTGCAGCTCTAATTGGCTCGATGAGGAGGCCGCGGGAGCGATGTTGAGCTGGCTGCCGCTGCTTCCCCCGATGGCTCTGCAGACGACGCACAGGGGCGGGTGGTGCCGGGCTGAGCGGGAGGCTGGGCTCCGCGGAGGAGGAGAACGAGAAGGAGGAGGCGGAGGCAGCAGCGCCTGTTTGCCGCCTTCAGTGACCGAGCCGCTCCTGCTGCTGGGCTGCTGCCTCCGGCCCGAGGACCCCACCGAGCGGGGTCTGCTCCTGGCGCCGCCGCCGCTTCTTCTGCCGGAGGAGGAGGAGGAGGAAGAGCAGAGGAGGAGGATGATGGCCATGGCGGGCGAGGGGCAGCGGCGGAAGGCGCTCTCGCTGCTCGAGGCGGCCCGCTGCCGCTACGAGAGCCTCCAGATCTCCGACGACGTCTTCGGAGAGTCCGGCCAGGACAGCAGCGGCGCCGGGAACCCTTTCTACAGCACCACGGCCGAGTCCCGCTCCGCCTCCGAGGAAGAAGAGGAGGAGGAAGCCGCTCGGGCAAGCAGGGAAGGGCGCGGAGCCTCCCAAGGCAGGAGAGCCGGCCAGCCAGAGGAGGAGGAAGACGACCAGGAGACCCCGCCGCCGCCTTTGCCGGCTGGTTGTCCGCCGGAGACCGAGCAGGAGGAGGAAGAGGAAGGCAAGGGAGGATGGGGCTCCGGGTTAAAGGAGGCGCCCAGCCCGGCTTTCCACGAGAGCAGCGGTAAGGAGGAGGAGGAGGAGGAGGCCTCGGGCGGGAGGCAGGCGGTGGCGGCGGGGAGTGGGAGATTGAAAGAGGGAAAGGAGCCTCCCTTGGCCGCCCCTGGTTGAGCACAAAGTCAGGAGGAAAGGTAGAGGGGAAGGCTACCCCGAGGGGATCGAGGCGAGCCATCCTTATGAGGAGCGGCTTAAAGAGCTGTGCCTGTTTGGCCTGCAGGAGAGAAGGCTGAGGAGAAGTCATGCTCTCTTCTGCCTCGATCAGACCCTACCTGTAATACTGTGTCCAGTTCTGGACATCGCAGTTGAAGGGAGATGTTGACAAGCTGGAATGTATCCAGAAAAAGGTGACTAAAATGATCAAGGGTCTGGAGAACAAGCCCTGTGAGGAGTGGCTAAAGGAGCTGGGCATGTTTAGCTTGCAGAAGAGAAGGCTGAGAAGAAGTTATGCTACCGCTCTCTTCTGCCTTGATCAGACCACACCTGGAATACTGTGTCCAATTCTGGTCACTGCAATTGAAGGGAGATGATGACAAGCTGGATTGCTTCCAGAGGAGGGTGACTAAAATGATCAAGAGTTTGAGGAATAAGCCTTATGAGGAGCAACTTAAGGATCTTGCTGAAGAGAGGGCTGAGGAGAAGTCACCTTAGCCCTCTCTTCTGCCTTGCTTAGACCACACCTGGAAAACCGTGTCCAATTCTGGGCACTGCAATTGAAGGGAGATGTTGACAAGCTGGAATATGTCCAGAAAAGAGTGACTGAAATTGTCAAAGGCCTGGAGAACAAGCCCTGCGAGGAGTGGCTTAAAGAGCTGGGCATGTTTAGCCTGCAGAAGAGAAGGCTGAAAGGAGACATGATGGTGTTGTATAAATATGTGAGGGGAAGTCATAGGGAGGAGGGAGCAAGCTTGTTTTCTGCTGCCTTGGAGACTAGGATGTGGAGCAATGGCTTCAAACTACAAGAAACGAGATTCCACCTGAACATGAGGAAGAACTTCCTGACTCTGAGAGCTGTTCAGCAGTGGAACTCTCTGCCCCTGAGTGTGCTCCTTCTTTCCAGGCTTTTAAAAGGAGGCTGGATGGCTATCTGTCGGGGGTGCTTTGAATGCAATTTTCCTGCTTCTTGGCAGGGGGTTGGACTGGGTGGCCCACAAGTTCCAACTCTATGACTCTAAGAGGAGCTGGGAAGGCAAAGGAAGGGCTGCCTCGCAAATTGGACACTGAGGAAAGGAACTGTTACATTCATACATTTAAATGGCAGTGCCTCAGTGCTATGGGATCCTGGGAGTTGCAGTTTTGCAAGTTCAGTGGCCTCTCCCCCAGCTCCACACCCCAGGATCCAATCACACAGGAGTGGTGTCCAACTGCATCCATTCTCAGGCGGGCTACACATCCCAGGATGCCATAGCATTGAGCCATGGCAGACAAGAGTGGTGCCCAACTGCATTCATCCCACAGTGAAGGTGCCCCTGTTGCTTCCTTCCACTTGCTTCTCAAATCTGACTTTGGCAAAGTGGTGGGCTTTTCTGGGTGACCATTCCACAGTTGGGAGTGCCTACTGTCTGGTTTGGTTTGCTGCTCCTGGACAGATGTTTAGAAAGTATTTTCTTTTGGGGGCAAAAGGGGGGCACTGCTCCTTTGCAAGAGCAGAGCTTGGCTTTCCAGTGAGACATTGCTTCCTTGGAACAGGTGCCCATGGTGTGCTTTTGGTTTTGTAGCCATTGGGTCTTTTATTGTAGAGCCCAGCTCCGAAAATGGAGCCCCTGCCACCCTGGAGCAGAGCAGAGCTCTCCCTAGTGTTTGCAAGAGATGTTGCTGAGCTTCCCTGGAGCCCTTCAGGGTCCTGCTGTATTCTGGGCCCCATTCAAGGGTGGCAGGCTCTACTTCTGGCTTTGTCATTTGGGGTAAGAGCAGGCATGGGCAAACTTGGGCTCTCCCTCAAGGTATTTTGGACTTCAACTCCCACAATTCCTAATAGCCTCTGGCCCTTTCCTTTTCCATCTCCCTTTCCTGCATGGCTGAGTGGGGAAAGAAAGGGGCCTTGAGGCTGTTAGGAATTGTGGGAGTTGAAGTCCAAAACACCTGGACGGAGGGCCCAAGTTTGCCCTTGCCTGGGTAAGAGGGAGGGAGATCCACACCAGAGATGTTGGGCTATTTACTGCGTCCTTTCTGACATGGGTGGAATGGAAGTTTCCCTTGACTTTTCTTGAATCCAGATTTCCACATCAGCCCAGAATCCTGAAAGCTTAGTCATTGGAAGGCAGGCTTGTGACCACTCAGGTTGACTCAGGACCGATGGAGCAAACCAAATCCCCACAGGTGGCAAAAGGATTTAAGCCAGATGCCTCCCTCTCCCTGTCAAGGTGAAGGGTACCTCGATTGTACTGCCAGAGACAGACCATCCCATTAATACCTGTCCATTGGTAGTAAAAATACAAGAATAACAAGTAACAAGAACATGGGCTATATGGCCATGTTCCAGAAGCATTCTGTCCTGATGTTTTGCCCACATCTATGGCAGGCACCCTCAGAGGTTGTGGGGTCTGTTGAAAACTAGGCAAGTGGGATTTATGTATCTGTGGAATGAGCAGGAGAAAGAATTCTTGTCTGCTTGAGGCAAGTGTGAATGTTACAACTGATCACCTTGATTATCATTGAATAGCCTTGCAGCTTCAAAGCCTGGCTGCTTCCGTGTGACTAAACCCCACTTGCCTAATTTCCAATAGACCTCACAACCCCTGAGGATACCTGCCATAGATGTGGGGGAAACGTCAGGAGAAAATGCTTCTGGAACATGTCCATACAGCCCGGAAAACTCACAAGAGCCCAGTGATTCTGGCTATGAAAGCCTTCAACAACAAAACTAACAAGTTGTTGTTTTATAATCCATTTCTATTCCTTGTCATGGGACTCAAAGCAGTTTACAAAGTTCAAGCCAATGCAAATTAAAATCTGTTGTACTAATACAAAGGGAAGCAATTCTTCACTATTTTTCTCTCAAATGAACCAATATGTTTTGTCCATTTTTTTCCTGCTTTAAGGACGTTTTTGAAAACTGTTTGCAATTTGAGGCTTGGTTCTGCACAAAATTTGCATGCAGTTATTTTATGTAGTCAACAGCATTTTCTGTGCCAAAAAACTACAGTTAATATAATGCATGATACAGCAAAGGCTTCAAAGCAATTAAATAAATAGCGTATTAACAACATTCATGTAAAATAGTAAGCCATTCAAAGCATAATAAGAATGATCAAAATACAGCTAAAAAAGAACTCTCTGAAAAGAGCAGCTGACAGTTAAAGGTCTGAGTAAATAAAACAGGCAATCCATTGGAGTGTTGTCGAAGGCTTTCATGGCTGGAATCATTGGGTTGTTGTGAGTTTTCCAGGCTGTATGGCCATGTTCCAGAAGCATTCTCTCCTGACATTTCACCCACATCTATGGCAGGCATCCTCAGAGGTTGAGAGGTCTGTTGGAAACTAGTCAAGTGAGGTTTATATATCTGTGGGATGTCCAGGGTGGGAGAAAGAACTCTTGTTTGCTGGAGGCAAGTGTGAATGTTGTAACTTGTCACCTTGATTAGCATTTAATGGCCTTGCAGCTTCAAACTGCCTGGAGGAATCCTTTGTTGGGTGGTGTTAGCTGGCCTTGATTGAGTCTTGTCTCTGTGTTTTGAGTGTTTTGAGTGTTGCTCTTTATTTGCAGTCCTGCTTTTAGAGTTTGTTAATGCTGGTAGCCAGCTTTTGGAGCAAAAAGCAACAAAAAACCTTTGCCATTTTATTTGGCAAATCCTTTTAATTACTGCATCCAATGCCCTTCCAGGGTGCTTTTACGTGATCACTTCTCTCTGCTGATCTGGTTGACCCTTTTGTCTTGTTTTGGTAATGGACAAGTTAGTGTTTCATGTGTGATGTAACCAGTATGTGGAAGGGCCAGGGATTAGCTTGGTTCAGAGCTTTTTTCCTTTGACCATTTTAAGTGGAGTTCTGAAATGAATGTTCCTTCCTCTGAGACTGCAGCATCAGGTGATGCTGCCCTACATCTGCTGAATGGTCACGTATTGCACACTGTACCAAACAGAAGTCACACACATGCACACGGGAAGAGCTGGCCCAGGCAGTTTGCTGCCTGGCCCAGAGTAACAAATGGTGTTCTCTTCCATTCTATCCACCTTATACTAACCATGTTATTCTGACATTAGAAACAGTTTGCTGCCTGGTTTCTCTCTTTTGTGAGTTATCTTTTGCTTATGATATTTGCCCTCTGGAATTTTACTTCACATTGAAATCAGTTAAAAAGTGCAAGCAGTCGTCCTCCAAATTGTATTTATTTTGGTTCTCAGCCCCAGGCATTGACAGCATTGGGGAAAATGTGATTTACTGTTTTCAAAAGTAGTTCTGCACTACACCATTATATTGTGTGTATTTGCCACTCAGACTTGCTTGTTTCCATCCTATGGTATGAAGGGATCTGTTGTTTAATTAGGTATGTATACTTACTAGAGAGCTCCAGTCTTTAGTACGGTACATCCATAGGGGTTTGCTTGAGAAATCCACATGGATGTGAAAAAAATGTAGAGGATTGCACTTAATATTATTAAATCTATATAAATAAAAATGTAATGTTCATTTGTGGGATTAACATAACTCAAAAACCACTGGGTGAACTGACACCAATTTTGGACACAATACACCTATCAGGCTCCAGCAAAGGATCACCGCCTTGTCGGGGCGCTGGAGCTTGAGCACCTCAATGATGTCATGAGCGA